GTAACTAAACTATCACATAGTTTGCACTTACTCATATGAGGAGTCGTGCTTATATCAAAGAACTTCCACGCTATACTTTTTTTTGTCATAATTTTTCTTTCAAATAAAATTTTTATAAAGATAATGAAACTAGTTTTCATATCAAAGTTTTCGTTTATTTTATATAAAACGATAATTTTTTTTAATAATACGCTCGAAATTAAAATATGAAAAATGTGTATAATATTTACCCTATATCTCTACTTTTATGATTTTTGCTTGATACGAATGAAAAGAGCTATCAGCGTTCGAAAGCATTATAAGCGTTTCATTCAAAGCTAAATTGCTAAAAATTATCTTGTGTTCTAACAGAATAAAAAGAAGCTATTCTAAAACTTTTTTTCCCATTCTTTTTATTCGTATTCTCGAATTTTTTTCTTCGAATTTTTTTCTTCGAATTTTTTTTCGTATTTCATTTAGCGTTACAGTTTTTGTTTCCGTATAAGTTTTTTTGCAAAAATGTATTAAAAAATATTTTAAGTGAGATTGTTTTAAGTTAATAGAACTTTGTGGTTATCGACTACATAACACTCTTAGACTTATATCAAGAAGTTTAATAGTTAAAGTTTAAACTAAAGGAAAAATCAATTTGAAGATACCCGGGTATTACAACAAAATGGCCGATACCGGGTACCCAGTAAAACAGCCGAATTGCTAGGTTCCCGGATCACTAATATATATATATATATATATATATATATATATATATATATATATATATATATATATATATATATATATATATATATATATATATATATATATATATATATATATATATATATATATATATATATATATAAATAAGCGGCCGTGGAGTAGTGGTTAGAGCGCTTGCTTTGTATATATATATATATATATATATATATATATATATATATATATATATATATATATATATATATATATATATATATATATATATATATATATATATATATATATATATATATATATATATATATATATATATATATATATATATATATATATATAAATAAGCGGCCGTGGAGTAGTGGTTAGAGCGCTTGCTTTGTAAGCAGGAGATCCAGGTTCGAAACGAGCTTTGGACACATTTCTTGTCCCGGTAAGGAAGGAGTCGTGAACTTCCTGGTTAAATGCACTTCCGCGGTGTTCTGTCTCAATACCGCAAGGACTTCTTGGGGCACCTATATATATATATATATATATATATATATATATATATATATATATATATATATATATATATATATATATATATATATATATATATATATATATATAATTTCATTCGTATCAAACAAAAATCATAAAAGTAGAGATATAGGGTAAATATTTTATATATATATATATATATATATATATATATATATATATATATATATATATATATATATATATATATATATATATATATATATATATTGAACATTGCATTAGCAATAAATTTGTAAAAATTTTAATAAAATCACAATATTTTTTATTCTTGACATGTTTCGTAGTCTTACTAGATTTTCAAAAGATTTAATTTACAATTAAAACTCTCGTAAATTAATTTAAAAACTGAAGACAATACAGAGAAAAAATTAACGGACAAATAAACTCGTAAGGTGCTCATTTATCCTTGTTGTCAAATGTCTGGAGGTTTCTCCAATATAACTGGCGTTACAGCCAGCTCAAGAAAATTTGTAGACAACGTTAGATTTAAGCATCTTAGGAAGTGGATCTTTTATGCAAAAACTGTTTTTTTATTTATCGTTTGCGAATATAAATTTGATTATTACATTTTTACAAATCTTTTTAATAATTTTATCAATTTTAGTTTTAGTGAAATTTGAGTAAAATCCAATAAATCGAATCTTAAAATATCTTATATTAGTATTATCAACAGTATTTATAACAGGTGGATTAATTTTCTTTTCAACATATAATTTAATTTCAGTGTCGATAACTTTTTGCGGAAATTGATTATTTTTTAAAACTAAAAAAAGATTTTTTATATCCTTATCAAATATCGATTTTTTATAAACGTTATGTGGATGACATAATAGCAATTTTTAATTCAGAGTTTGAAGCGCAAGAGTTAGTCAAAAAAGTCGGTTGCAGATTTCACCGCCCCCTTCCCACGGAAGAATGGGGGGGGGGATGAAGGTGAAATTCAAAAAAAAGCACCTACCCCATTTGTTTAATAAATAAGTTATTTGCAAAAGCCTTCAAAAAAGCGGCTCAAAATGGTATTGCATATTTAAAAAATAGACACAACAAACTAAGTAAAAACAAATTACTATAATAGCTACATATTATTAAATAACAAATTTAATACACCGAATGATTAAATTATAATAAAAAATTAAAACATTTTTTTCTAGGTATATAATTTTTTAATTTAAAAAGTACCAAGTGAAAAGTGTTCTCTGCTTTTCACAAGTTATTATACGATCAAATAATGTTTTCCACTTGAAGATATAGTTAAAGATATAGCGATAATAAAATAAAGTTTAATTAGTATGACTATCATGACTATTAATGTTAGTAAACAAAGTTATGGTTACAGTTAATGTGTTGCATGTGTTTATTTTCTCTAAACTGTTGACTAATGATCAATAAAGTAAACTTCAAATAATGAAAGCTTACTAAATTAAAACCATATTTCAACTCAAATAATCACACAAGGTAGAATCTCAAGGTAGAGCTGAAAAAAAGGAGAAAAGGTATATAATAGACAATGTATATAATGCTTCGAATTAAAATATCAAGATACAATACATAACGGTACCAGTTTCGATTAACAATTAACAGGTAAATCTAAAGATAAATAGAGAAAAAAAAAATACAATAAAAATTAGACATATTTAAATTCATAAAGATAATAAAACTTCATGAAAAAAATAAAATAACAACTAAAATAAAATAAATAGTCCTTATAAATAAAACTATAAAAAATAAAATAATTATATTTTTTAATTTAAAAATTGTTAAATTACACAAACTTTTTATTTAAAGAAGATCTTCAAGATACTTAATAAAGTTTTGTATATACAGTGTATATACAAACCTTTATACAGTATCTAATTCACAATGTAAAAAACCCATAAAATCTTCCCTAACATCATAAGAGTAATTCTTTCCTAACATCATAGGAATAAGTCTATAAATCTAATTACTAAGGACAATTGTTCCTGATTGGATGCATCATCAGCAATAACTGAAAAAAATTGATTTTCTTTTATTTCAGAAACCAAAATATTCTGGATGTACTTTCCACAACAATTTATTAATTCATTCTGTGACGAATTAGACATATAAGATGCACTCTTTGCACAGCTGTTAAGATGAAGTTCAAGAACTTTATCCCCACCTTTGATTCTGTAGTTTAAAAGTTCAATAAAATTACTCCACCCATTGAAGAATATTTGCCAATGACCATCACAATGACCTCTAAAAGCTATAATAAGTCGGCCTAAAAAAATGATTGAGTCAACAATTGGGCGCAACTTCTCGCGATTTAAAGCAATCTCCTTTTCATATTCTTTATTAAAATATCTATATTTTGAATATTTCCATTCACAGTATATAAAACTGCGGAAAATATGGTCCAGGTAGAATTTGTACTGCGTAATGATGTTCATAATTATTTCTGCTGAGTGATGCTCATAAATATTTCCTTTTTTCCCATGATATCTATAAAAAGTGCTCACAGTTTCTGGCCAGTATTTGAGTGGCTGAGAATACAAATTTTTAAATCCAGAAGCCCTCGAAGGGTATCTATATCCAAACAAAATGCAACACAAACATAATACTCCATCTTCAGAAGATGAATATCTAAGCCATGAAAATTTTTTTAACCATAAAAGTTTGAAAGTTCACTTATTTGTTTTTGGAAAAGAACAAGTTTCGTCAAGAAAAAAAACATTACAAATCAAATTTTATATTTGTAAATCTTTAAAAGTAGAAGCCTTTGAACGAAAACATGCAATATCATATTTACTACAGGGTTCACTTGACAATTTCTTTTAAGCGAGACTCTGCTCACAAATTTTCAGTGGATTAGATGCTTTTGTCCTTAGTTTTAGAACTATTTTCATTTGAAGATAATGAATTTGGATAAAATGATTTTGAATCAATAAAAGATTGGGAAACAATATTTTTATGAGAGGAAGAAATACACTTTTTGTTGACAAGAGTACATGAAACAGTTTTATCATTAATGGTAGAATTAGATGATACCTCATTCATATTATATTTTTCTGCAAACATATGAATTGTTGATCGATTGGTAAAATTAACTTTTTTACAAATTTTAAATTTTAAACTTTTCTTATCTGGAATGAAAATGAGAGGCACACAATGATTGTGTTTATATGGACATGGAGGGTTTATTCCCTCAAAACAAAACAACAAATTAACAATATCTGATGATGAACATATAATACGAGGTTCAATATTAAGATCAAACATAATTTTATATTTTAGAAGAGAACTAATTGTTCTACAGTAACACTGAACTCTTGTAGAACACACAGTTGAAAGTGCAAGAACACAAAGAAATCCAGACCATACAAATTCTTTACACAATTTCTATAGTTCCTTAACAAGGTCATTTTTAATTTTCCTGAGTCTATAGAATGTGTGGATACAGATACTGTTAACCAATTACCAATTGATGAAAACTCATTTGGATACTTTGAGTACAAGCTTACAAACGATGGATGATTACTGTAAAAAAAGGCATTTAAATATAAATCAATTGCTGTCAGTATTCTTAAATCCATTATATATATATATATATATATATATATATATATATATATATATATATATATATATATATATATATATATATATATATATATATATATATATATATATATTTATATATATATATATATATATATATATATATATATATATATATATATATATATATATATATATCTATATATATTTTTATGGGTTCCGTCATCTAATATTTGAACCATTCCATGTCTATCACTTTACCGCGTTTAGCGTTTGTCAACAAACATGGCGTATTCTGAGTGCTAAAAAAGTAGTGTTTAATTTCGATATGTTTTAAAATGCTTTGTATTAAACATATGTTTCTTTTTCCTTATATCATTGTTTAACTTTATAGTTCTATTAAAAAATAGCTAAAATAAAATATAAATATTCCAAAAAATGTCGGTTTTAACTGAAAAAGAAGTACTTTCAAGGGCATCTGCTTCTGATTTATCGAAGATAAAGAAGTTAAACTGTTGGGGTAGTGATTTATCCGATGTGTCTTTGTTAAGAAAAATGTCTAATTTAGAAGTTTTAAATCTTAGTGCAAATAATATTTTTTCGTTAAAAGACATTTCTTTTTGCTCACAATTAAAAGAATTATATCTGCGTAAAAATCACATAGAGTTAGAGGAGGTTAAACATTTAAAAAATCTTCCTAACTTGGAGATTTTATGGTTATCTGGAAATCCTTGTGCGGAAAAACCTTTCTATAAAGAAACAATTTTACTCAATTTACCTAGTGTTAAGAAACTAGATGGAATTTTAGTTACAGAGAATGATATAGAAAATGCGACAAGTAGTGGAATAAGTTTGGATTTTGAAACCATTATTTACAAACCTTTAAATAATGAGTTTCAAAATAAAAATATTGAAAAAAAAGAAAAAAATATTGTTTCTAATGATTTTGATAAAAGTTTAAATAAAGTCATTGATACACCAGTTATACTTTTAGATGAAAAAATACATACAGTTATTGAAAAACAAAATGAGCTAAATTTATCAAGAGTTAATGAAAACTTTAATGATGAGACTTTAAAAAAAAGCCAAGTGTATTCAATTATAAATAATAAAACTGTTTCGTCATCAAAAGCACCAATACCAATACCATCAATATCATCACTAGCTCCAGTAGCATCATCAATTGATTTAGAAAAAGCTAATGAAAGAAGAAAAGCTCTTGGCCTTAAACTACTAGACACAGGTAATACAAGTTTATTCTCTGTTAAAAGTAATGAAGAATCGATTGAGAAGAGTTTTATTCCAATGTCTGAAATAATAAGTGTTACAAATTGTGAAGATGATAAAGAAGAAGAGTTAATAACTGAAAAAACTGATTTTAGTACATTTTCAAATACACGTAGTAACTCTGCCACACGCAGTAACACTTTATCAGCAGTTATTTTACTTCTTGAAACTCTTAACTGTGATGAGCTAGATGAAGTTATTTCATATGCCCATAATTTCCGTGATCGTGATAAAGTAATATCAGCTAGAAGCTCTTTTAGTGTAACATAAGATATTTATAAAATTAGAAAAAATATAATATATAAAGTTATAAAGTTTACTTTTTCCTCATTTTGTAGTTTTGTTTGCATAATTTGTAATATTATGCTATATATTATATTACAGCGTCTTGCAGCCATATTGTATAGTATTTGTTTTAAAGTGTATTAACTTAATGCATATACAAATAAAAAATGTTAAATTTACATGAATATTATGATTTTAATGTTTTTAAGTATACAATCTATCAATTTTATTGTAAATCTACTGTAATGTTTTTAGTAATTGCTAAATTTCAACAACAAATTTACAACAGATAATGTTGTATTTGCATCTGTGTAATGTCAATTTTTTAAAACAGTTTTTATTTTTATTTTTAGAGTTGTTAATGTTTTAACAGATGGATTATTACTTTTAACTTCATAAGTTAAACATTTTAAAAGAGTTAATGGAAAAGCTTCCAGTTGGACAATATAGAACTCATGATCCACCAGTAAACTTTGCAATCAAGTAATAGTGTGAACACAAATTTTTATACAACTTTTTTTTTTAAATAGTTATATTGTTATTTTAACATTTCAAAATAAAATTTATTTTGAAAATATGTTTATTCTATATTTTAAAAAAGAATTACATATTGGAAAGTGACAGCCAGCAATGAAATTCCTTCTGCAATAATTCCAACAAAAGTTGGATTTGATCGCAATGCTTTTGAAATGGTGGAAAGAAATAAGAAAGAAAAGGAAAAAAAGGAAATAGTCATTTTTTGGCAAGAGAAACTTTTTAGTCAAGAAGAGTTTGATTATTATTCAGATGCTTTAAATTGCAACACAGCATTAGAACAAAAGTACCATGAAGATATTGAAACTATAAAAAGGTTCACACTTATCTCATTTAAAAGTTGATTGTAAACTTTGGATAAATTTTTTAATTTAACTTTTTAATTAAATTAAATTTCAAATTATATTAATATGGTTGTTTTCTTAATATTTATTATTTACTTTGTTTAGAAATATTTTCCGTAGTTTAACTATTTAGTAGCTCTTCAGATTTTTTAAATCCTTTGTGTTTATTATTTTAAAATAATTGTTTTCAAGTTTACAATAAAATTAAAATGTACAAAACCAGGATTTACTAGCTTTTTTATGAGTCATATAAAAATGTTGAAATATTTTGCAAATAAAAAGTATTTTATACATATGTGGCTCTTTTAATTAAACTTGATTTTCAATGTTTAGTTTAAAAAATGATTTTTTTCAACCAATTAACTTATGAATAGCAATAACATAAGTTTTGTGTGAGTCATTCCTCGTCAGAAAAAAGTGTGATGTCTGTGCACAATTTAATTTATAGTATATGTTAATAAGATAAAGTACACATTTAAGTTTATTCCAATGGTAGCTATGTACCTCATCTTAAACAGCACATAAGATGTTCTCTGCAAAGTCAACCAATATTATACACTCAATGTGATTTAATGACTCTTTACTGTTTTTAAAGTACTCAGCTTGATTTTTAGTTATAAATGTATAGGCTGTTAGTTTATTTTATTGTTCAATAAAATCTTTGATATTGACTATTTGATTATTCAGTGTATTTCTATCTGTATGTTGCCTTTGGTTAACTATTTCTTTATTGTTATAATCAGGCTTTACTATTAAAAATATTTTAAAGCAGTATTACTAGGACATAACAGACATAATTTTGAAATTTTGTGAGTGCATATTACATATGCACTCACACAGTTTTTACCTAATTATGTTATGTACTGATAAAAGTTGAAGTTGTGTTAGTACATATGCAATATGCACTCACACAATTTCTATCCAAGTACAGCATCAATGTCTAGTATTTTTAGAATTATTACCATTGATAGTGATACTTTCACATTTGCTATAAAAAAATGAAATAATCATTTTTTTTTTTACATTAGTTTCAAGTCAATTTTAAATAACATATGAGTACAATGAAAAAATAAACTTTATAAAAAAAACTACCCTTCATCCCTCCATCTAAAAATTAACAAAATCTAAAACATGGGGTATTATTTTTTTGGTTTCTTCTTGTGCACTTGCTGTTTCTAATTGTAATCTTTTTTTTTTATCTTTTCCACGAGAACAACTGGACAACAAATGTATTTTAATTAATGCAAGATATTGATGTAAAAAATTAATCTGACACTTTTTTTATCTATTATTATTAAAATAAGTTCATTATTCTCAGAATAATGAACTCATTTTAATAATAATAGATAAAAAATGATAATAAACTAAATCTTGTTTTTTATCTCATAAATTCTAGAAATAAAATATCATAGGTTATCTCATAGGTTTTAGAGACTTTTAAACAATCTTTTACAATGTCATTGATAAAGGCAAGTTAAATATTCCATCTCTCATACTTTGGTCTGATTTTATTACCTCCCTAAAAAAAAAGACGTATTAAACTATTTAAAAGCACTATTTACAATTTTCTTTAATTCATTTTCTGAATATAATGACCACACTATTCAAAATCTTCAACAGTTTGTGGTCTAGATAACATTGCTTACAAAAGTATTTTTTCCCAGAATTCTCATCAGCTTGTAATTTTTTCCCAGAATTCTCAACAGCTTGTGATTTTTACCCAGAAATCTCTTCATTACTCTCTAAACTAATATTGAACATGTTTTAAATCTTATATTGTGCCTAACAACAAGCCAATCAACTCTGTCAATCAATATGGATCTTGATCCTCCTGTTCTATAAACTCACTTCGTTAAGTGTATCTGGGAAAGTTTTTAAATTATTGAATCATTCCTTTCTAACCAATTTTTTGTAGTTGTCTTTGATGGACAACATTTTTCTTCATTTCTAGTAACTTTTGGGGTATCACAAGGTTCTGTCCTTGGTTCTGTGTTCTTAATCATCTTTATTAATCTTTGTTTTAATTTTACCTCCAAATTTGCGGATGACAATATATTCATAACAAAAAGTTAACATCTCTAACTATCTGATCAGTCTTCTCTCTATTATGAGGAAGGTCTTTGAGTATTTGATCAACAAATTTCTAACATCCCATTTTAAATCTGATAACTTACTCTCTAACATACTAAATAAAAATACGACAATATAACCAAATATTACCAAATAGAATTATGTATTTGACCCTAACTCTGTCATCAGCTACATTTAATATACACTGACTTTATGTAGAAGATCTCTTATTAAATTTCTTTTTAAATATATATGTATTGTTTGTACTGTAGAAGAATCCAATCAGTAGGTTGTCTTTGTTTGTTTTTTTCCATTTGTTTTATTATAAAATTATGAAATATACAACCATAATCATAAGTTTGCATTAAGTCAGGTGCAACATATAGTTAAAAACTAGTCAACAGAGTGACATCTAAAAAAAAGTTAAATAAAACAAAGAAGGAAATATTGCATATAATAATAAATAATGAACTGAAGTATTGTATAATAGCTATAATGTAAATAATGACAAATAAAAAGACTAATGAAAAATACATATGAGTGGGTCAGAAGCCAAGGGCTACAAGTGACATTTTCATAGTTTTGAGATGCAGCTGTTTAAAGTTAAAGTATTTTTGTTAAATATACTCAGCTGTTGTTATGTTTTTTCAGTAGAAAGCAGCACAGGGCAGAGATTCACTTGTATCCCTTGGCCACCAACAATTTTGTTTGCTTCTTCTATCAAATTCTATACTTAACTTAATTTTGGTAAAATTTGGTAAAATCACTTGTACCCCTTGGCTTCTGACCCACTCATATATGTTTTATAGAAAAAATAAATACATAATTTTTTAATTTAAAATTATAATTGAGTAAAAATTATTAAAGGTTATAAATAGTTTAAATTGAAGATTGAAGTTATCATATAAATAGATTTTTATTTTAGGCTACATGGTGAGCGCCCAAACAAAAAGGTTTTTACATACACTGATAGTGATTCATTCACAGCATTTGAAGAGCACATTAGCTTGACAGATGGACCAGAGATTCAACCAAACATTCTTACTCAACATATGGAAAAAGTTTCTGCTAAAAACTATTCTAAGTCATTTGTTTCAAATGTACGAAGAAGAAATATTATAGTAAATAAACCAACAGAAGTAAACAGAGTAAATCACGTCACTAACATACCTAGTAAATGCATGTATATCATGTTAGACCTTGGTAGAACAGATGAAGTGAATGGATTTTTTATCAAAGATGAAAGAGTCTTATGCAAAATAAAGGTAACTGGTTTACTAATAATTATGCCAATCCTATGAAAAATTTTTCGAACTGTATAAAATTTTTTGTAATTTTAATAACAGAGTGTTGATTATAAAAAATTTTTATGTTGTTGTATTTATAAATACAACAACATAAAATACTTTGTATAAAAAACATTTTTTTAAAAAAGTATGTACTAAAAAGTATGTACTTTTATTAACAAAGACATTTTTTTAAAACAGTTTGTACTATACTACATTTTGTAGTATACTACAAAAAGTTTGTACTATATACAGTTGTACTATATACAGTTTGTATTATATACAGTTGTACTTTGTACTATATACTATTGTATTATATTCAGTTGTACTATGCAACAATTTGTACTATATACAGTTGTACTATGTACTGTAAACAGTTAGTACTGTATAGATTTTGTAGTATACTACAAAAAAGTATATACTATTTGTGTACACAAATACTTAAAAGTAGTTTCTGAACCATAAATAGATATGTATTTCTAATTCACTATACAAAAACACCTTTAGTAAATGACTATACATAAACATAATCAGTATAAATACACTTTCATTAAGTTACTAAGTATAAACTCATTTAATAGGTTACTTAGTGTAAACACTTTCATTAAAAATATCATCATTATGGAACTCTTTTATTCATGTATTTAAGATGTTGCAACAATTATGTCATAAGTTCTCATTAAGCCAAAATGTCGTATGTTTTTCTTTATAGCATTTATGTGTAGTTATTTCACTATTCAAGTTGTAAATAGTAATGTTTTAAGCTGGGTGCAATATGCTAATAATTTTAAAATTATATTTTACGATAATGATTTCATAATAATTAGCTAATTGATTATAAATTGTACATAAAATAAAACTTTCATTTTTATAATTTTTTACTTTTACAGATGGATTTCCAACTGTTTAGTTATGTTTATTTTTAGATTGATGTCAATGGGTTTATTATGATCAAGCCAGATTTAGATACTGGAAAGGTGTTTACAATTGAAACATATAAAGAAAGTCGTGAGCACTACCAGTATACTATTCATCACGCTTCAAACCCTATAAATAAGCTTGAACAACAGCAGGAGGATAGTTTGTTCGATGAGTTATTTATTCGACAGTCTCAACTTTTAGCTCGACAAGTAGGGGATAATTTCTTTCCCATGCCAAGTTCAAATAATCTTTTTGTTTATTTTTTGTGTGAAATTGTTTCTGCTTGTTGTTTTGAGTATGAAAAACTGTATGTAAAATATCTTCTTGATCTGCCAGATGGTTGGCGCTGTGACTCCCAAAACTGCGTTGGAGTAACACAGAGCTGCAAAGTTAATGAAGTAAGATTAAATTTTTTTTATTTAGTATCGATTAATGATGGTTTTTAGGGACTGTTTATAATCTGTATATACTGTAAGCATCACAATCTGTAATAATGCAGATAATGCAGTAAATTACGGTATGGTGTAGTGGTGGCTATTGCTCTTGACATTTCTCGCTTTATAAGTGAGAAGTTCCAAGTTTATCCCCACCATGTCCTTGATACCATGCTCAACCTATTTCTCCGTAATCTTGTTTGTCAAGGTTCATGTTTTGGAGTTATAGAGTTGGTAAAGGGTTGCAGCCACAATTAAAATAGCCTCCTTGACTGTAGTGGCCTTCTCAGCCTTGGGGAGGTGAATTAACATAGAAAGAAAAAAAAAATCCATGGTGATTACAATGATTACTTAATGTCATTGTTATTTTGATGAATCTATATAATATAAGCATTTTTTAATTGTCTTTTTCTTTTTTTTTTTCTTTTTTATTTGTTGAGTTTTTTTATTTAAGTAATTTATGTATATTTTATGCATTAAATTTGTAACTTTGGTAACACAAAGAACAAGATAACAGGTTTGCCATCTCCATGTCTTATTGTTGTGTGCTACGTGTTTATTTTTTATTTTTTTGAAGGAATATTTTTTTTGTAGGAAGGAATAGCTCATTTTTGTTTTCCTTTTGATTTTCAACTACTTTATACATGGGATCAAGATAATCCAGAGGAATTTGTTAAATGGCCCACATTATTTTTGCAAGTGTTTTCAGTAGACTCTTGGCAACGACACAGAATTGAAGGTGACAAATTAGCTGATTTAAAGCTAATTTTCTAATTTAATTGAGTGGTGGTTCATTAGCAAAAAAATGGCTATTAACATTGTAAAAAACTTTTTTCTTTATGCAATGATATGTTAAATAAAAAATATTTTTCTTCCAGTTATTTCATTGCATAATGTATACACATTAGTTCATTTAAAAAATTGATTTTATAAGAATTCAATTGTTATTTTGCAAATACAATTCTTATTTTATAGTACACTGGAACCAAAATAAATTATTTGATTCCAGCATGTTGTTAAAAAAAATGCGTTCTAAAATCTGAATTTATGTTCAGTTTTTATAATTTATGTTTATTATTAATAATATATATATATATATATATATATATATATATATATATATATATATATATATATATATATATATATATATATTTGTTATTTAAAAAAGATTTTTCTTATTTATTGACAGGGTATGGGTATTGCAGTGTTCCTGATGTTGCTGGAACCACCTGCATAACAATTAAAATGTGGAGGCCAAAAGGAGATAATTTGTTTGCTGAAATGAACCGATTTTTTATTGGTGCTTCTCCTGAAATAAAAGACTTATCATACGTAAAAGACCCCGGAGAGAGTGATCGACTCAGCAAATTCTACTTTAAAACCTTATCAACTGGAAATGTTGTTTTGAAAATAAACTCAATGTTTCAGACTGAGTAAGTTTATTACGGAGATACCTGAAGGTCTAAAAAAAAGCACACTTAATTTCTTATTTTATTTTATTTTTATGCACACTTAGTTTATAATAATTTAATTAATTATTAATTATTTTATTAACTAATCCAAAGATTAGTTTTTTTATGGTTAGAATAATAGAAATGTTGTTTTGAAAATGAACCTGATATTTCAGATTCATTAAGTTCATTGCTATAAAAGCTTTTAAGATTTAATAATAACCAGTCTTTCCCACTCTCTCTCCTACTTCTCTTTCCTACTTTGGAAGGTTCACTATGAAACACAGTTTACTTTTGAATTTTTTTTTAACTTGAGCTAGCTTTCTGACATGGCATAAAAAAAGGTCTTATAGACTGTATAAAAGCATGGTGCTTTATACAGTCTACAAGGGTTGAATTAACGCATCGCGATTTGCGATATCTGTTAACTTATCTGGTCTTCAAAGTTTTAGTTTATGGAAAACCACGAAATTTACGGTATAGGCGAATAAACTTTAATTTGTTAGTGAAAATGTTATAAAAAACAAAACAATAAATTTATGACAATTAAATCATAATAAAAGTAAAGACAAAAAAATATATTTCTAAATATACTTCTTTATAACTAAAATTTATTAAATTGAACACCTCTGTTTTTAGTTTTAAGTAAATGTCAGTACTACTCTCAGTGGCGAAACTGCGGGGGGAGGGGGTGGGGGTTAGCAGACAAAAGTGTCCTATTTTTAAACTAATTTTAGGTTGCATGGGCGATATGGGGCTCATTTTGAAAATCGTGTTATTTGTTTATAACAAGTCACTTGTTATAAACAAAAAACTATATCTCAAAACAAAAATTCAGTGAAAATTGGCCATAAAATTAAAAAAAGTATATATTGGTAACCGATAAATAATAAAACTTTCATTGTAAATCCTCCCGCTTTTTTTTATTATTTCCTCCTCCCATTTTATACATCCTGACTAAAATTCCCACCCCCACCTACCTTTGTATTAAGCACATTAGAGTAGTCAGTAGCAACCCCCCCCCCCCCCCCCGCACGATTTTCAAAATGAGCCCCATATCGCCCATGCAACCTAAAATTAGTTTAAAAATAGGACACTTTTTGTCTGCTAACCCTCCCCCCCCCCTCCCGCAGTTTCGCCACTGAGAGTAGTACTGAAACTAAAAACAGAGGTGTTCAATTTAGTAAATTTTAGTTATAAAGAAGTATATTTAGAAACATATTTTTTTGTCTTTACTTTTATTATGATTTAATTGATTAAATAATAAAACAAAATTTAAGTTTTTAGCCTCCCCCCTCCCTCCCCTTTTAACATAGATTTCTCCTAAGAAGTAAATTACCAGTGTTTTCATTGGTTGATTTTAAAGTGAACGCACGTTTTATCCGGACCGTTAGTAAGATGTTTAGAAATGCTAAACTGTTTATAAAAATATGTATTCGTAAAAGTTGCTGAGATTTTTAACATTGTTTAAATATCCATTTTACTTTTTTTAGATGCATTACTACTTTAATTAAAGTTTGGAATTACTTAACTAAATCATTTTTATTTATAATATCTTGATTATGTGTTGTTTGATCAAACAATAAACTACAAATGTAACTTAAAAGAGTGTTATAAAAGTAACAACACTGTAGTGTTATTACTTTTGTAGTCATAAATTTATTGTTTTGTTTTTTATAACATTTTCACTAACAAATTAAAGTTTATTCGCCTATTCCATAAATTTCGTGGTTTTCCATAAACTGAAACTTTGAAGACCAGATAAGTTAACAGATATCGCAAATCGCGATGCGTTAATTCAACCCTTGGTCTATATAAGACCTTTTAAAGATTCTGAATTAAAGTCAAAAAATGAAAATTCTATCTGGCTAAAATTTTAATATTATGCAAAGTGGTTTTAAAGTTATCAATGAATTGAACAAATTTTTTATATGAAATTCATTAACTAAAATAATTCATTTGTTAATTTAAAAGTATAAGACAAAAAACAATTTGTGATTTTAATTTGATTCAAGGCTAATCACAATCAAATTGAAGGACTATAGTCTTTTTAAAAAAATTTATTTTTATTTTGTTATTTTTTATTTTGAGCCTGTTTTTATTTTTTTGAAAATTGTTAGTTTGATTTTATTGTTGCTGTCTTTTCAATATCTTACAATTTTGTATATATTTTTAGTGTTCCTGAAGAAATGCATATGGGAGGGAGAAAATTTGCATCCAAATGGAAAAAAGCATTTAAAACAATAAGGTATGTAGAAAAAATTATTATTTGAATGGTATGCATAATTAGTAAAAAACTATGTAAAGTAAAGTAAATAAAAATATATATAAAGTAAAAAATTATGTAAAACTGTTACGTAAAATTGTTAAATTATGTTAAATTGTGCTTTAAAAATAATTAGTTAAATAGCAAATTTAAGTAAAAGAAGTTTGTCATTTATTTTATTATCCAAAAAAAAAAAACTTTTGCAATACATAAATTTAACATATAAAATTCAGATAAATGAAAGCAGTATTTTTAATTTAATTTGTTAAACAAAAGGATATTCTATTTTTCAAAATAAATATATCCTTATAAATCTTCCTACCATTCCATCTAACTGTATTCAACAAAGATTGCCTCTAGTTTCTCATCAGGATGTCATCATGATGGGTATTTTTCTCAGAAACAACAACAAAGAAGTTTGTTGAGGTTTTCATACATGTATGTTCTGATGTTACACCACAAGATTTTCTGCTTATCAAGATACTCCTTGAGGTGGTTCCTGATTAGTGTTGGATTTATTATAAGACTTTTTAGTCAAAGCCTGGGGCCCTGCATATATGGGGGTTCCACATATAGTTGGGAAAAAAGCTTTAATCTTGTTCATAAATAAATAATATCTAAAATCTGATTATTTATTAAACAATAATTTAATTGTTATCCCTATCTTTAAAAATTCTGGAGAGCGATCTGATTCGTCTAACTACCATCCCATTAGTCTTCTTCCTATCATAAGCAAGGTTTTTGAATCTTTATTTAACAAACACTTAATCTCTCATCTCGAACCTCATAACCTACTTTCTGATCATCAATATGGATTTCGATCTTCTCGTTCTACGGCTGATTTACTATCAGTAATAACCGATAGGTTTTATCGCGCATTAGATAAAGGTGGAGAGGTTAAGGCCATCGCTCTTGACATTTCTAAAGCATTTGATAAAGTTTGGCATGCTGGTCTTCTCCATAAGCTTTTTTCTTACGGTGTATCTGGAAACATCTTTAAGATTATTGAATCCTTCCTTTCCAATCGTAGTATAAAAGTTGTCCTTGATAGACAGCACTCTTCTTCTTATTCTGTAACCTCAGGGGTTCCTCATGGTTCAATCCTTGGCCCTATACTCTTTTTAATTTACATTAACGATCTTCCAGATATTCTCACATCTAAGATGGCATTGTTTGCTGATGATACTACCATTAATTCTTGTCACGATAAGAAGCCAACTCCCTCTGATTGGGGCATCTGAGCTTGAAAAGGATCTCACTTCTGCTACAGCATTGGGCTCACAGTGGCTGGTGAACTTTAATTCAGATAAAGCTCAATTTTTTTCAGCCAATCGTTATCGCAATAATTTAGACCTTCCTATATTTATGAATGGTAATGTACTCGATGAGTCTCCTACCCTTCATCTTCTAGGATTAACTCTTACTTCTGATCTTTCTTGGAAACCTTATATCAAATCCGTTGCAAAATTAGCATCTGCTAAAGTTGCTTCTCTTTATCGAGCTCGTCACTTTCTTACTCTGGATTCTATTCTCTATCTCTATAAATCTCAAATCCGGCCTTGTATGGAATACTGTTGCCATATCTGGGGCGGATCTTCTAATGATGCCCTTTCTCTTTTAGACAAGGTGCAAAAACGCATTGTAAACATAGTTGGACCTGCTCTTGCAGCCAACCTTCAACCTCTGTCACATCGTCGTAATGTTGCTTCTCTTTCTTTTTTCTACAAATACTATAATGGGCACTGCTCTAAAGAGCTATCGTCTCTTGTGCCATCTACTAAAATTCATTCTCCTGTTACTCGTCATTCAATTAAGCCTCATCCTTTTTCTGTTACGGTTCCTAAGTGCTCCAAAAACTCTTATTCGTCTAGTTTTTTTCCTCGAACATTAGTTCTTTGGAATTGGCTTCCTTCATCTTGCTTTCCTGATTCATATAATTTGCAATCTTTTAAGTCGTCTGTCAATCGTTATCTTGCTCTACAATCTTCATTTTTTCTCTTCCAGTAACTTCCAACGCTAATTAGTGGTTGCTTGCAGCCTTGTTGAAAGCAAAGATGTTAAAAAAAAAAAAAAAATCAGATAAAATAATAAATATAAAAATTTGATTAGTAATTATGAAAGAAAACAGGTTAATTTTATTTTACTCTATCTTATACCCCCTTCACACCAAACCTGCATTTGAATAAACTGGGTCTTAATCATGTCTTATAAAAACAACATTGTGAGGTTGTTTTTATTTATATAAGTATTGAACAAAAATCAGTTCTAAACTTGATGTTAATGTTATAGTATAAAGAGTGCTTAAAATACTACTGTTAAAACTTGTTTTTTTTTTTTTTGAATGTGGTATTACTGATATACGATGAATTCCCAAATGGTAAATGCTTTTTTTTAAGGGAAAAAACAAAAATTTAAGTGAAAAAAGTAATTATGAAAAAGAAAAAAATAGAATTTGATAAATTAGGAAAGGACTCCACAAATTGTTAGTGACGCTGCAAAACCCAGGGTCTTTATGCACGGATCCTGTATCTGGAAAATGGAATAAATGTAATATTTTGGCATGACACCCTAGAAAGAGCAGATAAAAAAGTAAGGAAATTCAATATCTAAAACTAGACCTGAATACCATGGTGATCTGTATCCAATCAAGTTGGTCATGTCAAAGCGTGGATGTCTTGAAGAATAAGGGCAAAATCGAGCAGTAAAAACTAGCACACAAAAATATTTGATAGCTCATTCAAGAATTCAAAATTTTAACTCCTCAGACATACTCAAATGTCACCTTCCAAGAAATTTAATTAAGAGCTTCATTCCAGTGATTGATCACTCTGCTCTTAACCAGAGAATGTGTGCCTATGATTATATACTATCTGCTTTTTTCGCGCAATTAGTCTCTAAATTAGAATTTTTTTGATTTGAGACACATTTAACACAAAATACATTTTGAGACACTTGCCAGATCATTTTTAAATTAAAACAAAAATACCCTCAAAAAATACCTCCAGTATACCCCAGTTGATGAAAACTAATTAAAAAAAAAAATTCTTTATCTTACATACGATCATAATTTATAAATAAACTTTAAATTTCATCAAAATATATTTTGATGTTCAAAAGATATGGCCATATTAAGTTTAAAAGTCCCTATTTTTTGGAATGTTTTACATTTTTAGGAAAAAAAGATTGACAAATAATAAAAGATTATATTTTTTGTGGTTTTAGTTTATTTTAAACAGTTTCTGTTTTCTTTTTTTAAACATGTCAACCTATTGGAAAAAGTAGCTCAATAAAAAACTGAAGTAAAAATAACTTTAAAAATCACTAAAAAAAAAAAGCAGTGTATAGAAAGACCTTTTGAAGGAGACCATTTATGCCTGGCTTTATCAAAATGTTAGACTTGCTTTTGCTAATAGCACTGTTAAAATTTTTCAAATATTACTAGAACCTAACTTTTTAAGAAAGTTTTAGTAATCTAAAATTAGTGGACCTTAACATCAAACAATCAGAAGGAATAAAAGCTTCTATGCATGCCAAGATATGGAGGTTATATAGGAGACACATAAAGAATGTTAGGAAAAGTCAGGCAACTTTAAGGTAATTGTAAGAAGTTTAATGCAGGGTGAATCTAATAAACAAAAAGTATGAGATAAAAGGTGAGATCATAGCATGATCTGAACAAAAATAATGGAGGGAAAGGAGAAGGTGAGCATTTATGTTGTCAACAACAATGAGTTATTGACTGAGAGATAATGAATAAGAGCATGGTCAATTTAATCAGAAACAACATTGAAAAGAGTGGAATCTTTGGAAGAAAGAAAACAGTTAAGAAAAACTAAAAGAAAGGTGTTGAGTGAAGAGGTGTTAAAGGAATGCGCAATAATGAATATTCAGATGATTCCAACTGGTGTCAGGACAAATAGGTGATACCCATGGTCAAGCATGTGACTATCCTAATCTCTGCAAATCAAAGGACAATAGCCATCAACATTGAAGCCCAAAAATGAAAAATTTTAGTCTTTCAAAAAGCAACTGGTTTATTTTGCAAGAGATATGATTCAACTTATGAAAAGTTTCTTTGACCTTAAATAATTATTAAAGATAGATTGAAAAAATAATAGTTGATGATGGTTTTGATCGTTTTTTATTTTTAATGTTTTTGTAGGTGTCATATTAATGTTTAAATTTTTGGATAACTTCATCATAGATTGTGCATGATACCACAAATAATGTCTTTCAGTCCTTCTAATCAACCCTAAAAAAGTTGTCTTTATTAAGTTTTGACAATGCATACTAAAAGCAATAACAGGGACATCATCCATGCACATTGTTAATACCCTTATATTTATAGCTTTTGATGGAATCAATCTCTTTCTCTTTCTGAAGGTTTGAGAAATCTTACTACCAACTTTTTAGCCCTTGCCTAATGAGTGTCCTACAAAGCAGCAGGGTTACAAGTAACTAGTTGATTGTGATGATGATTCCGATCTGATATATATATATATATATATATATATATATATATATATATATATATATATATATATATATATATATGTGTGAAGCAGCAGGGTTACAAGTAACTAGTTGATTGCGAGTATATATATATATATATATATATATATATATATATATATATATATATATATATATATATATATATATATATATATATATATATATATATATATATATATATATATATATATATATATATTATAGAACATTTAGTTTATCTTTAAAATTATATTCCAGAATTTTGAATCCTCAGTTTTTGACTCTGGCTGTGGGTTTCTAAATTAAGGCTTAATTGTTATTTTTTTGTGTATTGTATATATTAATGTTTATTTTAGTGCGTTTGCTTCAACTTCCGATTCTTTGGCGAAAGTTTTAGGTAATTTTACTGAAATATTAAAAAAAAAAATTTGATAATTTTAAATTATTAAAAAAGGAGTAGAAATTTGTTATACTTTTTTATTCAGTCTGTTTTTTTTTTATCTTTTGCAGATGCCTTTAACCAAGCACGAAAAAGAATGTTACTTGTTCGGTCTACTTTGCCTTCAATATAAAACTCAAGTTTTTCTATTCATATACAACTTGAGTATTTAAGTTACAATGTGTTAACATCCAAACCTTAAAGCTGTTTAAATGGTTAAACACTATTTGACATAGTGTTTGACCGTAGTATGCCAAAAAAGAACGATAACAACGCAATTTTTGCTCCTAAAATAAGCTAAATAGAAGTTGATTATAAAAGTGTTACTCTTTAAAAATAAATTTATTTAAAAAATCGATTAAGTGTGTAATTGATACCTAAGTATTAACGTGCTGCAGGTTACGTTAAATCACTTACATCGCGATCTACAGCAATTAAGTTTAAAATTATAAATACAATGAAATAAGCATAAATTTTACCCTTATGTTTAATTGTTATTATTTATATAACAATTTTAGTAAAATAATGTTTTTAGTAGATTTTGTAGCAATATAATTTTTTTTTCCATTATGCAAATAATATTACCTCTCACAGTAAACGTTTTGTGATCTGAAGAAGTTGGTATTATAAGTATAAGAAGGCATTTTTATAAAGGGATAGTAGAGATAATGATGTAGATTTTACACGTGAAGATAAAACATTGTACCAATGCAAATCAAAAGTTTATTTCCTTTATTTTTGACTTTATAGTATTTTTTATTTTTATAAAATCTCTCTGGAATTTCTAATTTTCTAGGTTTATGACAATAACTGTTTTGTGTTCATTTTTTTAAAAAGCAAGGAGTATTGATATAACTTTGATTTGGTTAGACAGGGTCATAGAAAATAAGCCTTTTACTTTGAAAATATCATTTTTGAACTCATGATATTTTTTCCTTTGCTTCATGAAATTTTTATATAAATAATAAAAATAAAAGGACATATCAACATTTTTTGAAACCAATAACTCAAAAATAACTTTATTGAAACCAGTAATTCAAAATAAAATATTGGTAGAATCTTATTTTTAAATAAAACTACAACAGGAAGAATTTTTCTCCATAAGATTTTATAACTAACAAGCAACGTGAACATCAGGTGAACTAAAATCCGTTTTAAAAGTCACAGTTTTTCTGGCTGTCCTAAACTGCTTTTTCCTATAATTAAAGTAAAATTTTTAAAAATAGATAAAGTGATAGAATGATACATTGAGTCTTCTCTAATTAAAGAGATTGTTGAAGGCGGGATGCTTGTAGAATCCAAGAAAACTTCGACTAGAAAACATCATTATGCATTTTATTTTGGTTTTTCTGCACGGAAAGGATACTGTTTAAATTTATATATTCTGATCCGCAACTCGTGTAAGGTGCAACTTGTAAATGAGCAATGGTCTAAAAATCATTTTGTAAAATTGTTTTTTATTTAAAATTATTCATTGTATCTTCTTAATTGAAAAAAGCATTCTCTTAACAACTGAGATTGATTTTGTTTTTGTGCATTTATCTCCTATAAAGATGACGTCGAAATCTCATATGCCGAAACCACCCCTTATGAATGTTCCTAATTGGAACACTTGTATTTATTTAAAAAAAAAAGATTTATGGCTATACTTTGCATTTTTTTAGTAAAATGCCTTGTTTTCTACGTTTTGACATTTGAAAATCATTCCTCAAAAAATGCATGTGCACATTAATTTAAAGTTTTTTTGCGTCATTTTTTTTCGGGGACCTAATTTTGTGTTCACACTGTTTTGATTGCGCTGGGTAAACTATACTGCAATAGGTTATACGGTTTTTTGTGTTTAATTCGATGGGATTTAAAATGCAAAATAACAATATAAACTTATCTTATAAGTTTCTGAAAACATGATATTGCAGTGATATAACAAAATAGTCCAAAGTTTCCTTGATTGCAATTATAAAGATTTGTTTACTTAATCAAATCAAATAAATCAAAGGATTGTAGAAATAGTTCAAGCGCAATTTAAAAAGACTTAGTAACAACCATAAACTTTAAAGTAATACTTTATTTAGTGGTTTTTAATCAATAAATTAAGAGAACGTCATAAATGTTGCAGCTTTATACAATTTTTTGTTTGTAGTATTTCACTAAAAATATGGTAAATATTATTGTCCGACACAAAAATAAGAAGGCTTAATTTGCAATGCAAACCACTAAATTCGAAGCTAAAATAGTAACCTGTTCCTATACCAGAAATATATTTTTCTTTGGTATTTTAATTTGCGCTGGCGCTAATAATTCCAATACTGATCCTATTTTTGACATGCTGCATTCCACTTTTTATCCACTGTATTGTGCGACAATGTGTTTTAATCGATTCCACAACATACAGTCAATGTCAACGTAAAAAAAAAAAGTAGCTCCATTTAGACTATAATTTTTTTATTATTATTGTTCAGGTGCCCCAAGAAGACCTAACGGTTTTGTCACAGAACACCGCGGAAGTGCGTTTAACCAAGAAGTTCACTCCTTCCTTACTGTGACGCGAAAATATGTCCAAGGCTCGTTTTGAACCTGGATCTCCTTTTTAAATAGCTAGCGCTCTAACCACTGCGCCACGGCCACAATTTTTTACGTAATTTAATACAGTGAGTCAACGTAAAAAAGAAAAAAGCAGCTCCATTTTGTGATTTGTGGACAACGTTGAGTGCAAATTTGTTCCAGATTTATAACCCTACAGGAAATAACTATCGATGAACAATTATATTCCTTCCGAGGTCGAAAAGGATTTACTCAACATATTGAGTAAATCCTATATATATTGTTTATATATATATATATATATATATATATATATATATATATATATATATATATATATATATATATATATATATATATATATTGCATAAGCTGAAGAGTCGTAGAAAGAAAGGTTGAACAAATATCATCAGCACTTCAAATCTGATTTAGCTGGGTTTTAGTCAGATTTGTATTCGTATACGTTTTTCTATGGTTTTTTGCAACCAACAAGACATTCTGCTTTATATCTTCATTTCGGTATGACATAATAAAGTCTCGGATTAGTTCTATATTTCTGTCTGCACAATCGTTGGTGACTTCCATATTTTTAACAAAAAATTTAAAGTTGTCTAGAATAGTAAAGTCCCCTTATACAGCTAACTCAACCTGGTCATGGGTAACCTGGGTTAGGTAAAACAAATTCCAGCTCTGGTTACCAACTAGTGTTGTAGATGGCGTGATTATAGGCATTTTAGGCTTACCTTTTGTGAACTCTTTAGGAACTGGAAACTGTAAGAGGTTTTGGAGTATTGTTTTCTTCTCTACTTTTTCTACATCATCATCCACTAAAGCCATTACAACAAACTGCTGACTTAAATACCAGGTATGATTTTGCATGCTTTTCAGTATTGGTTGAGAAAACTGAGGATATTCTTTACTTAAATCAGACATGTCTTTGAATGCTGATAAATCATTAGCTGGTGCTTTAATACTCAGAGAGCTTTTGAAAAACCAAGGACAGTATGTTAGAGATATAAATAAAGAAGCTGTCGTAACCATCTCCTTCTCCTTTTCGTTCATGATATTTGAGATGTCTTTTGTCATTTCTAGTGTAAGCAAATAAATTGCATCTGCCATAAACCTTGCTTCATGATAAGCTTCTGGCTGATGAAATTTTATACCAGGAACATGACCACCAAGGTAGTAAACAAACAACTGATAAAGACTTTTGTAGTCTCCTCTCTTGAAATTATTTTCATTTAGTGCAGTTTCTCCAAACTTTAATGCTGTCTTGGCTATATTAAAAATAGGTGATCCAATTTCTAAAGAAGTCTAGTTAAACTTAACTAGACTTACTGATGATGTGTCTATCTTGTCAACAATTTTTGAATTTTTGTAAGCGAACATAAATTTCTCTTCTCGGAGACTTGGTATCGGCGCCAGTCAGTGCAGTCATAAAATGTTTAATATGTACTTCAATAATATGGCGACGACTCATGCACCAGACAAGGCTTGTATTAAGGATAGTTGATAGAATTGTAACTGCTCCCGCAAATTTTTCAGTATTGGATGCAGTTGTGTCGCAGCAAACACTAATAATATTGTCGCTATTATCATAGTATTCCAAGAGATTGAGGATTAAATGTGCCTGCTCTGACCCAGTTGAATTTTCTGCCTGTACTATGCCAAGCAAAAAATCATCTTTACATTCCAAATCTGGACTGGTTACACCAACTGCAATTCTTTCACATGTAACTGTCAGATCATTTTCCTCTTCCAGCTGTCTAACAAGTTTCCCATCAAAATGAACTATAAGTTTTTTCCTTTTAAAACATTAACAACATCCTGCCGTAGTGTTTTTCCTAAATCAATTAAATTATACATTTAGAATAATAAAGATAACAAAACAAATAAACTTCATTTTTGTGAATAATAGTTACCCAGATTTTCAATAATTCTTTTTAATAACTCTGTATCTTTTTTTATGTAGAGTAGATCTTGATAAATTAATCTTATGCAAGTCAACACCTGCTTTATTGCAGATAGCAGAAACTATAGCAGTCTGGGGCCTAACACCAATTCTATACCGAACGCTAACTGCAGAAGTAGCTTCAATTAGTTCATCAGGTGTTAATTCTAAAATTATTTTTAATTTTTTTGATTTGGATACATCATGTTCAGAATCATCACTTTCTTCACATAAAAGAGAACTTTCAAGTGGGCTAACAATGTTATGAGTTGTCTTGTCGACTTCTGCAATCTCGCAAATGTTTCCACAGTCCTTTTTTCTTTTTGAGCCTTTGAGTTTTTCTGATCATTCAACAGTTTAACTCTTTCAAATCTCTCCTTTCTTCGCAGAGCCCTAGTTTCAAATTCTTTATCTTGCTGTACAGTCATGGTCATATTCCTTTTAGATCGCTGGTCTTCGTAGAAGGCTACATCTTCTTTCTTTGCCTCTTCTGTTCTTCTATGATCTTTCATTAACAAGTCAATTATTTGAGGAGCAGATTTATCAAATAAGGTATCAATCTCCACCTGGAAATCTACTTGCTTTTTAGTCCAGATTCCTTTGCTTGAACACCTGTTTAGTTTACTCCATCCTTTCATTTTGTTATATTTCTCTGTGAGTTTTAGGATCCTTTCACTGAAAAATATTACATAGCTGAAGTTACTAAAAACAAGATAAATCTATAATAATTTTTAAAATTTTACCTAACAGATCTTCCACTAATAATGTTGCACACAAAACCAGCTTTTATCCAGATGTTAGTAACAGCTGAAGTTACACATCTATTGGTTGATATTTCACATGCTCTATACTGGCAAATTAGACTT